ATTATGTGTTTTCTGTTTTATTGAGATTCCTGGATGCATTTAACAGAGATATTTTGACGTCGTTTTGTTATACTCTGTAATGCAGCTATTTAAGCTTCAGTATGTTGTATGATTGTCAGCCATACCTATACAATTTTTCATATTCATATTTACTCCCCGAGGCCCAGGATTTTTCTTTCTGACATGGTTTTCCATAAATGTTTGTACTTCTCAGATAGAGTCTTTATCGGTCACTTTTCACGGTCACGACCTCATTGTTGATTCTGAGCTGGAGCTTAATTATGGAAGGTAGGCTCTGTTTCTAATACTTTTTTATTGTCAATTCACCTCATATTTGGCTTATGGTTTACTGATTTTTTGCTTGGTCTAGACGCTACGGTTTGCTTGGGTTGAATGGCTGTGGAAAATCTACACTTCTTACTGCAATAGGATGCAGAGAACTCCCAATTCCTGAACATATGGATATTTATCACCTGTCCCGGGAGATTGAAGCTTCAGATATGACTTCCCTTGAGGCTGTCATCAACTGTGATGAGGAGAGGCTGAGATTGGAGAAAGAGGCTGAAATTTTGGCAGCTCAGGTATCTCCATTGCATCTTATTTCACAGGAGATCTGTTATATGCTCCTTGGTATCATTTTTGGGATAGGAATGAATCTAACGCAGACTATTATGACTATCTTTTTTTCTGGAGAATCTAATGTGAGTTGTTACGAATTATAATTTTTCAGGATGATGGTGGTGGAGAACCTCTGGAGCGCATCTATGAACGCTTGGAAGCATTAGATGCATCTACTGCTGAGAAGCGTGCAGCTGAAATTCTTTATGGGCTTGGCTTTAATAAGCAAATGCAAGCAAAGAAAACCCGAGATTTCTCTGGTGGTTGGCGAATGAGGATTGCACTAGCACGAGCACTTTTTATGAACCCAACAATCCTTTTACTTGATGAACCTACAAATCATCTTGGTAATACTTTCTTTCCATCTGTCTTGTGCAAATGGACATCTATGTCTATCATCAAAACTGTTTGAGTCTTCTTCTTTTTTCTTAGTTTCTGTTATTAATGGTGTGGGCCTGACTTATATAAGGTCATCTAGGCTTGGCAGACCTACATAAAATGAGCGTAAGCTTCTCCTTGCCATGAGCTTTGACTGTCTGATACAAATTCTCTGGCATACAGTAGTCTTATACTTGTAAAATGTGCTGTTTCAACAAGCAAATAGGCTTGTGGTTGATGGAATGTATGATCAGTAACATGTATATATCCTTGTCAAGAAAGGCAACTTTATTCTGCAAGGGTTACATAGTTTAAACTTACTAGGTTATGTGGATGGAATACTTTAAATGTTTGAAATATGCTGAAGCTGAATAGATTAAAACAAGCTCCTAACAGTGTAAATAGTGGTGAGTAATACCTTTAGAATATCAAATTAAATTATCACTCTTGACAAGGGAACATAAGAAAATATTTATCCATCATATAAATGGATTCCCTCAGGGAGCCTCCGAAATTCATTAAATTTGATGATCAAAATAATGAAGAGGTAAGATGATATATTTAGGAAACAGTGATTTGGCGGTGAAGTACGCAGATGGTGTCCTTTAAATCTTAGAATGCGGAAGCTGAATTGATTGAAACAGCTCCTAACAGTGTAATAGCGGTGAGCAATATCTTTCAAATTCAAATTAAAATATCACTCTTGACAAGTGAACATAAGGAAGTATTTATGCATTAAATGGATTCTCTTAGTGAGCCTCAAGTAGTCATTAAAATTGATGGTTAAAATAACGAAGGCTAGAGGTATGGATGATATCTTTAGGAAACAGTGATTTGGTGGTGAAGTCACCAATGTTTTCTACATTATTTTCTTCTTTCTTTCCTAATCGAAAGTATCAAAACTTATAACGAAGGCTAGAGGTATAGATGATATCTTTAGGAAACAGTGATTTGGTGGTGAAGTCACCATGTTTTCTACATTATTTTCTTCTTTCCTTCCTAATCAAAGGTATCAAATTTTTGATATGTTGTAGTTCCAATAGCATTTGTGTTCGTATTCAAATTTAATATTTTGAAAGAACCTTGACTGCATAGATGCGTGCCACTGTGGAATACTTGTTTAGATATCAGTTGTTCAATAGTATGTCTTCTTGTTGATACGTCAACTTCTAAATCATGCATAAGCAATCTTTAGGGCATGTGAAATTACTGTAGACCTCCTGCACTATATCGCCCAATTGGTGATAGCCCCTTTGTATTATCGCCTAATTGCGGATAGACCCCCTGTACTTCCACTGTTGAAGAGAGATCCCGACTGATTGTTTTTTTGACTCTTTTACCCTCAGAGAAAGAGAGAATTACTTCAACAAATAGATCTCTCGAGTGTAAAGAGCCAAAAAAAATTCACTGTGGGGGTCTGTCCGCACTTGGACGACAGTCCAGGGGGTCTATTTGCGACAATAGACCTACAGAGGGGTCTATCTGCAATTGGGTGATGGTACAAGGGATCTATCCGCAATTGACCCTATTTTGTTTTATTTTTTTCCAATTTACCTTGTATTGTAGCATCTACCTAATGCTACTGTCCATTTTCTTGATCAGATATCTCACCCCTCGTTGTTTTCCTTTGGCTCTTTGGAACAGATCTGGAAGCATGTGTTTGGTTAGAGGAGATGCTGAAGAAGTTCGACCGGATCTTGGTTGTGATATCTCACTCCCAGGATTTTCTCAACGGAGTCTGCACCAACACCATTCACATGCAAAGCAAGAAGCTGAAGATGTACACCGGTAACTATGATCAGTATGTTCAGACTCGTGCTGAGCTGGAGGAGAATCAAATGAAGCAGTACAGATGGGAGCAGGAGCAGATTGCTTCAATGAAGGAGTACATCGCTCGTTTTGGTCACGGTTCTGCTAAGCTGGCTCGCCAAGCTCAGAGCAAGGAGAAAACCCTGGCCAAGATGGAGCGAGGTGGACTCACTGAGAAGGTCGCGAGAGACAAAGTCTTAGTCTTTCGCTTCACCGATGTTGGCAAGCTCCCACCTCCAGTTCTCCAGTTCGTGGAAGTCACTTTTGGGTACACCCCTGATAACCTGATTTACAAGAATCTAGATTTTGGCGTGGATCTTGATTCTAGAATTGCTCTCGTGGGACCCAACGGAGCGGGCAAAAGCACACTACTTAAACTAATGACCGGAGAGCTTCAGCCACTTGATGGTATGGTGCGCCGTCATAACCACTTAAGAATCGCTCAGTTCCATCAGCACTTAGCAGAGAAGCTCGACATGGAGATGTCAGCTCTCGCGTACATGATGAAGGAGTACACTGGGAACGAAGAGGAGAAGATGAGGGCAGCCATCGGTCGATTCGGGCTTACAGGAAAAGCTCAGATCATGCCGATGAAGAACTTGTCGGATGGGCAAAGGAGCAGGGTGATCTTTGCTTGGTTAGCGTGGAGGCTGCCGCACATGCTGCTGCTCGACGAACCGACGAATCACTTGGATATTGAGACCATCGATTCCTTGGCAGAGGCGCTTAATGAATGGGACGGGGGTTTGGTTTTGGTTAGTCATGACTTTAGGCTAATTAATCAGGTTGCAAAGGAGATATGGGTCTGTGAGAACCAGAAGGCTACGAGATGGGAGGGCGATATCATGCAGTTTAAGGAGCATTTGAGGAGCAAAGCTGGATTATCTGATTGAGTTGGGTGCTATTATGTGCCGCCGAGAGATAGGGGTCTCTTTTAGGGGTATGGCTTATGATGTGAGCTACTATCAATAGAGATTTTATGAGCAGTATCTATTATGGCTGCTGCACCTATTACAAGTAATTATCATACGCTATATTAATTGTCCGAATGAGCTACGGTTAATGTTTTTTGCTTTCGCCTTTTTTTCTTCTTCTTTTCCTTACTCCGTGACACCTTATTTATAAGCGCTTGTTTAGTTGAGTTCGTGTGGGTCCAACACGTGTCTACTTGATGAATGAATATCTTATCATGATCGTTGAGATTGTTAGTATCGACCCATGGGCGTAGAAGAAGAAACTTCGCCTCGTGGAGTACTGGGCCTAAGTTGCTTGTTGAAAGATCGTGACGTAATGTGAAGCTGGAGGAAGAGTCTCTTTTCGACACGTGGGCTATGGTTGGTTGCCGTGATTTGTAACATGCTAAGATAGAGAATGGGAGGGACCAAAATTTCGAGGCCACCGCAGCAACATCATAACGCCTGAAGGCCACATTTTATTGTGCAGAGGCCAACTTTTTTTCCTTCTCAATTTAGAGGGCGATTTGTTAGTTAAACTGAAGGAAAAAAGACAGATTTATCTCGCGATGTTATCCCCGCATGGCGTCTTTTCCTACGATGCAACTTGCAAGTCGGAAGAGGAATGCTCGCCATCTCACTCTTCAACAGAAAACCGAAGGAGAGAATACGCAAGAACGACCAATGTTTCATCCGAAATGGTCGTATTTGACATGTTACTTGCTAGATCGTTGATAGCTTGAACGTATACAAACCGCAACGTCGTGGTTTTTTTTATTTAAAAAACTCATTAATTCATATTTTTGTAGCAATTCAAGAGAAATGGCTCCATACTTCTCTTCACCGTAGTTTCAATATTAGTACATAAGATTTGTAGTTCAGTTTTCTTTTCAATAGATGATTTGTAGTTTGGTTAGTACAAAATAGGTAAACCTGCAGCGAGTTACGATTAATTTCAGACGGACAGATTCTGAAATCGTGAACCAGACCGACCACCCAGCAGGTATCTGCCGCGATAAACCGGATGAAATGTACATCACGGAGACCTATTATTTACCAGCTGTCAAGAGATTAGTATATATGTTTGAAACACAAGCACACTTACATTCAGAGATGGGTCCTGAAACCTCGATCATCCGTAGGCCTGCACGCCAAGTTCCAGCCCTTAGGACGTAGGAGAACTTATACGTTTATAAACACTAGTACCGTACGTAGACAACAAAAATCAGATGATGCTCCTGATCAGCAGACTCTTCCTCTGAACCCCTGAGAGCCCTCGATTATACTCTGCAGCTCGCTAGCCTTGCACGGTATCGCGAGGGCTCCTTCTTGGCTGAACCCGAAATCCTCCTCCGCTAACTCCAGCAACCTCAGAAACACGGGATCGGAGAGGCAGTTCAGAGACACGACGAACCTCTTTGGTTCGTCGTCGTTAACTGCTAACACGGCAAAGTGCCCCTCCTTCACATCCTCGGGAACAAGCTCATCGGATCTCCGAGACCGCGAAAGCTTCCTTTGAAGCGCTCGTACCGCTCCCTTGATCATGCTGTCGTTCCTTTTCATTGACCTGGCCTTCGCCATCTCTCTATTTGGGTTTTTATGTGTTTTTTGTTTTGTTTTGTTTTGGTTCGTTCAGTTTGTTTATTTAATGGTTCCAGTTTGGTTTTCTTTATATAGAGATGGGGGTGAAAGGGATGAATCATTGGTGGTCTGATGAGTCTGATGTGGAGATTTATGTTGGCATAGGCGCTCACTCTTGTCTCAAGATACAACAACTGAAGAGTGGACGATGTGGGACAAGTGAGATTTACGAGAGAGAAGGGTGCCTTGTTCTTACAAGGCACTGCCGAACTTTTTGCCTTCTACTTTCATGACAAGAAAGGAAGTAAGTAGTACTTAGTTGTGAAATTACAATGTGGACTGATGGTTAGTTACGAGGACAAATTTTCAAAATAGACCCGTTTAGGAATTAATTTTTAAAAATCGACCCCTTTAAAATTTATTTGCCATTTATTTGTCGGTTTCAGGTTGAAAATGGCAAACAAAGTTGGAAAACTTCACGGGATTTAAAATCACGTGAAGTTTAGCATGGTTAATCAAGCACCAAACTTCACGGGATTTAAAATCACGTGAAGTTTTTGAACTTCTACAGCTTCATTAGCGTCGTTAATAAGGCACTAAACTTCACGGGATTTTAAATCCCGTGAAGTTTTCAAACTTTATTTGCTATTTTCGATCTAGTTTCAGCTAGGATTTCCCGTGAAGTTTAGCATGGTTAATCAGGCACCAAAATTTACAGGATTTTAAATCTCGTGAAGTTTTTGAACTTCTACAGCTTCATTGGCGTCGTTAATCTGGCACTAAACTTCACGGGATTCTAAATCCCGTGAAGTTTTCAAACTTTATTTGCCATTTTCGAACCAGTTTCAGCCAGGTGGTTGAAACTGGGTCGAAAATGACAAATAAATTTCAAATGGGTCGTTCTTTGAAAATAAACTCCTAAAGGGGTCTAGTTTGAAAATTTACCCTAGTTATGATTTATTAAGAATTTCCTCACGTTTAAGCTCCAATAGATGTGTGTAACCTATACCAGTAAATTCTTGTTTTCCCTGTTCACTTCCTCAAAAAATAGAAGGCACAACAAAAATCAGTAGGCCCGTGAATATTTATTATTACAGGGTACACACATCTATGGTAGAAATTAAGAGTTGTGAAAAAAAGAAGGGACTAGAATTAATCAAGTAGATGTGTCAAATATAGTCATGATCTAGACTCAACCTATTATATATCGAAGACTGTAGTCTCATGTTAATGTAAACACTTCAACACTGGCCTCAGAACTCGACTTCGTGCCTCGATCACCATTGATATGTTAATGATCAAGTTTTGCTATGTCAAATTCTGGACCACTTCCCGATTTGTGCATGACATCTTCTACTTCTATTCCTAAAAAAGTGGGGGTCTAGTTTTCTTGCAAGAGAGGGACTAGTGTTTCCATTGTCAAGTAGGTTAAAAGTAGGTTAACGCCGTAAACACCGCCATGCTTCCGTATCTTACAGGCCTAGATATTTCAGAAGCTCAAAATGTTTAAAAAAATCAATTAAAGGCGTACGTTTAGGTATCAAGGATTATTATCCGATCTAAGAAGGGAACTTAAACAATTAAAGCATGCCCGTGATATCAAACAACTAATGTTTGGTAGGATTCGCTATAAAGCGCATTAAAGTGGTGTCCTATCATGCATGACCTAAAGAAATCTCTTCAATCTCCGGCAGTTCGGACAAATTTTGAAAACACACCCCTTTGCAAAAATATTCCCAAAAAAGGACCCGTTTCCACTTTATTTTCAAAAAACGACGCAGTTTCAGCCTCTTCATGGCCGAAACTGGGGTCGGTTTTTGGGAAAAATGTTCCCAAACTTTACGGGAGTTGAACTCCGTGAAGTTTTGTTATGTAAAAAGCTTCACGGGAGTTCAAGTCCCGTGAAGTTTGGGAACTTTTTTCGCAAAAAAACGACCTAGTTTCAGCTTCAGGTCTGAAACTAGGTTATTTTTTGTGAATATTTTCAAAACGGGTCTTTTTTTAGGAATATTTTTGCAAAAGGGTCTGTTTTTAAAATTTACCCTTGCAATGTAACTATATGACCGATATGACTGCCATCAAGCATGTCTCAGCTCGTGGTTTTTTTTACTTTAATTAGGTCCCAAGTCAATAATAATCAAGTTTATCCTCATACTCCTCTTATATATCCCAACAAATCTTTAGCCAGCAATCAGCGAGCACACGTCACACAGATTAGGTATTTAGACGCCAGTCGAGATTATCGCTTCGATTCTTCTTATATCCAGGGATTGTGGTGGCGACGGCGACGGCGACGTACGTCATTTCTTCCTCCCCCTTTTCTGGATATAAATTGTTGGAGAAGACGAGACATCTTAGATATTGATTGCTCTTGTTGAGCCACAGCCTCCTCCGTATCATCATCACCTTCTGCTAGAGTTTTTACTATTTCTTGCCAGAAAATAGAAAACCATCACTCGCCCGGTACTGACGGATGGGCCCCACAGCAACCGTCGGCGAACAAGGGTCGTATGTAAGTTTTGAGCCCCAGGCAACAGAACATCAGCATGTGAGAGCTAGCGAACTCAGTCCTCTGAAAATGATGAACGACAGCGTGCATGTGAGAGCTAATTAACTTGATGGTGAATGAAGATGCTGAACAGCAGGGACGGATCCGGAAACTTTGCTCAGTGAGGGCAAGGTTGTAAGCATAGTTGCATGGAACCCGGTTCGTTCTGGTTCAAGAACGAGAACGGAAGCGTGGTACGCAACTCATTAAGAATCAGGTACAAGGGTGTGGGCTTATATAGTATGCTAGGGAACGTGGTACGTTTTGGATTTGGCTCTAAAATGTAGGAATTTAAGGATCTACAAGAGTCAAATTTAAGCAATATGCTAGTTGACATCAGTAATGCTAAAAGAACCTTGTGAATTATGTTGTAACTAAGGTATGCATACTTAATTTGCTTAATTTCTCATGTTTTTTTATTTTCTATTCTTTTGACTAAGTGTTTTTTTTTCAAAATTTTAAGTGGTTTGAATTCTTAATTGAGTCGATGGAGTTGGTGAATCGGGTCGTGTTCCATCACGAACCCGAGATAATTGAACCCAAGTCACAGTTCGCTATAACATCCCACGTTATGACTTCTATGATTATAAGCTACAAGAAAACTAGTATATGATACTTTTAGCTAAATATTAAGAGCTTTTCATATTAGTCCCCCACATTTTAAATATTTTAAAATTAGTTCCCTAAATCTCTTTTAAGTGTTTTAAAACTAGTCCCTACAGTTAACAGGTTGAAAGATTTGGGGGCTAATTCCACACACTTTATGTATTTGGGGGATTAATTTTAAAATATGAAGATATGAATGACTAACCTCAAAGTATGACATATTTGGGGAACTAATATCGAAAAAACGTAATATTAATGATGCCAATACAAATGTGCTATGTGTTGACCTCTTTGTTTTGATGATGTTTAACAAACAATTTACATCTAATATTGTTTGTCTAGTGTTTGTGTTTTGTATTTATTGTAGACAAACAATATGTTGGAGGATGGATGGAATCAAATTTTCACGATCATATCTAATGGAGGTTGGCGGAATAGTGGAGTGAAGCAATGCAATTCAAGTTGAAGATCCAAGTTCAAACTTCATCTATAAGTTTACCAAGAAGAGCTTATTGAAGATCAAGATCATAGCTTAGGTATATTTAGTTTAGGTTTATATTATGTGTGTTGATACTTTAAGCTCAATCACTTACACACATATAAGTTTTGGTTTCTTATATATATATATATATATATATATATATATATATATACATTTTGGTTTTATAGCTTTATATATACACACATTTTGGCTTTTGGTTTATCCACAAACAAAGTTTCTACAAGTATATAAATAAATATTTATATTCATACATGTTTGTTTTTATGTGGATAAGTTGGTTTGGTTTAATTTCATAGATATGAAACAAAAATATATTCATATACATACTCATATGTTTCATATTCTATTGTATTTGTGAAAATATTGTATTCATTGTTTATAGACTTCATAACAATAATTTATATTTTTCTTTAAGTCTATAAAATCAGTTTATAGAGTTTCAAAACATGATTTATGTCCAATGTCAAAAACAAGTGTTTTTCATTTACATGTTTTGGACTATTTTGCAAAATGATGAGATTTCATATTTGGGAGATGCTTTTTGAAAACCAGTTTTTGTAGCATGTTTATTATCATGTTTACAATCTGATGGGGACATCCGGACGCGTACACGAGATTTTCGCCGTAGGAGGCGCCATGTTGCAGCATTATGGTTTTGAATTCAGTTGTAATAAATTAGTTTGAATTTTAAAATTTGAATTTCGAAATTTTGAATTTTGATTCTTATTTGGTAGTTATTGAGCTGATTGAATGTAATTGGTTATGGGAGTGGTTTGAGGGATTTAGGAGATATTCCAAAACTGTAAATCCTACTTAAGAACTCTTGTATTCAGAAATTTGATATTGAAAATGAAAATGAAAATGAAATTGAGTTAGCTGATTAATTGGTGTGAAACCATTGGGTGTGAAACCCTAGGTTAACTCTATTTCTCTGTTCATTGTTCTCAGCCTCCCAAACCCTAACATCCTCACGCCTCCTCATTCCCAGCCGTCACGTCTCTCTCTCTTCACAAAAGAAAACAAAAAAAAAATATATTGTTCATCTTCCACCTCACTCACGTAGCCCAGAACCCACAAATCCCCTCCGCTCATCCTCTTCAAATTCCGACGGAATCCCTCTCCCTCCTGAATCTCCGACCGCGCGCGCCTTGCCTCGCCCACCTCCGACGATCAGCGCCGCCCTCTGACGAGCCCAGTCCTTCTCTCATCAACCCGTCACCAACCCACCTCCTCTTCAAATCCGCCATCAGCATCCATACACCGTTGCCTCCCTAGCCCCGACTCCTCCTCTCTCTTTTCCTCCGAGTCCAACACAAGCCCTCTTTGAAGCAGACATCCTCCTTC